TGGTACCAGTTTTCATCATTTTGATGGTTTGTAACTTTGAAAGAATACAACAAAAAGACTGACTAAGGCCGGTTGAACACTTTTACAGGGTTGAAATATATAATCATTGGCTATCCGAAAGTAAGTGTCATTTCGTAAAGGTGGCTGGTACTAGTTTCCTCGCGCGGGGAACAGGTCACTCTTGTGTCACGCGCGAGAGAAACGTGCGAGAGAAGTGCGAGATTTAATTAAAGACGAAATTCAAAACAAAGATGGCGGCGCGAGGCTTCTTTCTACTTTTGTAAGAAATTTACCTAACAGCGTGTATTTGATGTGTTGAACGGCCACTGCGTATGCAGGAGACAGAAACGAAGATAAAGAAGACGATTCTCGGAGACATAAAGGTTGCTTTAAATCTAAACGAAATATCCAACCGATATGAAATCTTGCGACGGCGAAAAAAGGAGAACTCAAGTGAAGGATAATCTGCCTGAAGCGGAAGAAGACAGTGAAACTTCAAGGAAAGTAATATAATATAGCCAGAAGTTGTGAGTAGGTCCTTTAAGATGAGCCCGGGAGTCTGTCTTTGACGGCTTCCAAAGCAGTAAACGTCTATGTACATCAGATCGTAAATGCTCGCGCGAACACACGCGATAGTCAGCGGCAGCTATAACAGATAATGAGCAAATGTGCATCTTATAGAATTCGGATTTTTAAATGCGCGAGAACGCTCGAAGAAATTGCTAAACTCAAGAAAGCTATTGCATAAAACAGGTCCGGTGACCCCTTTTTATTGTTCCAATATGACAATCACGTTGAAAGGAATCGTCAGAAAAAAGAAATAGAAAATTCAACGGAAGGACATTTGCGATGCGTGAAAATTTTGGCCTCACGAACCAACATACGCACGTGAGTTGAGGAAAATTTCAGACATGCGCAGATGACGCCCCGTCTTGTGTTTACCCCGCCCGTCTACGCTTTTAAAACTTTACCGTTGAATATCTTATCAAAACACAAAGTCTGGGGTAGTTTAATACTTAAACCGCGATAAATGCTACGGACTTAAGGATTCTACCGTTTTATTTTTTTCCTTTTCATCGACTTAGTGGCAGAAATGCTCTTTTTTCGTACTTTTTTTTTCATTCATTGCGCCTGGTGTGTATTATTTGGAATTTCGAAACGGACAAGTTCAAGAATTGGCATCGAAGCTTCAAGGGAATTTGAGGTTTGAAGTCCACTGTTGTTCGTGTGAAAGTTATTTTCATGTATTTGACGCGCGCTCGAGATGTCATGGAGGGCCGGAATGAAATATATCGACTGAGTAAAGCAAGCGCACGATGCTCGAGGTAAGATTATAAATTAGGTTATCTTGACCCTATCTTAGGGGGGTTTTGGTGGTAATGGGTCAATTAGCTTATATTCAATATCGCCCACCTGAGATCGAGAGTGAACTCCAGTTTATTCGTCAACAGGAACCAAGAGCAGTTTACCAATTACTTCTCGGGTACTTGTTGGTACTATTGTTGATGTTTGGCTGATATCGATTGTTAAATCAATGCTTATTTCTTTTGGGCGCTTTGAATGTGGAGGATCGACCAATAACATTGATTCTTTTTTGACCACACTGCATATTCTATAATTTGTGTTGGTCCAGGTATAAAAGCTATGACAAGTTGCCTGTCTGTGGAAAAAAATTTCATTGGTGTAGATATTTAATAGTAGAAGAAAAACCTTTAAAGGGGAGAGAGGATTCATTACGGGTCAGATTTGTACTACTTATCTTTTACACGGAATAAGGAAAGACAGGATAATGAGCTTGGCACATTTTTAACAGTTCCAGTGTTTAAATCCAATTTATTACTGTTATACTTGTACACTAACTGTGTGCAACATAACATTGGTTGCATCACTTAGCTTTTCCCTTCCGGTTCAAAATGGTCCACTTAATGTACAAGAACACCTAAGCACAAGTCATGTACTTATCACATTAAAAGTTACCTACTGCTAATGATATGTTAAATTATACATGTGCAACATTATAATGATATAATTTTCAATGCTTGTTTAATATTCCACCAAGCTACAGTCATGCATAACAATTTAAAATCAGATATGTTACAGCTTCATTTACCTACTGTTCATTTTGAATGTAATGTTCAACTCATTTAAGTCAAGATCCAATACAACATGATTATAAATGCATGTCTCAGCTTTGGCTCCATGCACTTTACTTATACTCTGTAAAACCAGTGACAATATTGCAAAGCTAA